TATAGGATCCTCTCATCTGTCATTGGTTCAGCTGTGCTGATGTGATTATGTATTAGTTTACCAATGGTAGGTGTTGATGAGCATTTATTATGTCAGGGGTCCTGCAGTAGAAAGTTAGACTACAAATAATATATAGGATAAGTTTGCTGCTTCTAAGATTTATACTGTGGTGTGGATGACAGGATCAGTATTTAAATAACTACCAATACCATCCTTGTTTATACCAAATCTGAGTGTTCTGACAGCTGGTTTAGTTTTGGATCAGAGGATATCTTTGAGGAACCCTCTTACAGTGACATCAGATGCTATTCACAGTTGTTTACAGTGCCTTCATATTTGGCCTGACACTTGAAACAAATTTGTGTGTGTGTGTGTGTGTGTGTGTGTGTGTGTGTGTGTGATGGCTAATCCTGGGTGTCAACTTGACTGGATCTGGGATTAACTGAAATGAGAGAGATCTTGATTGGATCATCTGTGGCTGGAAGACATACCCTATATGTGGGTGTTACCTTCTGATGGCAGCCTGTATAAAAGGCCAAGGCAGAGGAGAACGCTGGGCTTCTTGCTGCTGTAGACTGAAGACTAGTTGATCTTTTGGAATTCATCAGACCTTCAGCGTCAGATTGGGACTACCAAGACATCCAGCTTCGTAGACTGAGCGACTACAGATTCTCAGCCTCTCCAGTATGGTACAGCTATTGTTGGACTACTAGGACTATCCTGTGAGCTAAGCTGATAAATCTCTATACATATATATTCATTCTACTGGTTCTGTTTCTTTGGAGAACCCTGACTAATACAGTGTGTGAGTGAGTGAGTGAATGTGGGGTTAGGAGGATGTTGGTATCTGTTACTTTCCTTAATTGCTTTTACTTTTTGAGATAGGACCTCTCACTGAACTTGGAGTTCATTAATTCAGCAAAACTGGCTGGTCAGCAAGCAAAATCTGGCTGTTACCGCCCCCCCCCCCCCCCCCCCCCCCCCGCAACACACAAGCATGCTGGGGTTACAGGCATGTGCTATCATGCTTGACTTTCTACGCAGGTGTTTGTCATTTGAACTAAGGTCCTCTTACTTGTGTGGCAAGCACTTTACTGATTGAGCCATCTCCCTAGCCCCTAAGCAGTCTTCCTTTGTAAATTTGATATTGGTTTGACTGTTGTTGCCATCGAATTTACTAAATGCTGTGATGTCAGCCCTTATCGCTGAGACTTTATGCTGAGTATATAGAATGTCTTATTTATCTTTTTGTGGTCATGGATAATGAATATATGTTATTAGCCATGAGAGATTAGAAAAAGAATTAGTGGACAAATTGTGTTTGTGTCAGTAACTATTATATATAAAATATGTAATTTTTAAAAAAATTGGTACTATTAATTGAAAACTTTTTTAAGTTTTAAAATTTATTATTGCGTGTGTATGATGGGGCAGAGAGCACATCTGATGCACATGTGTGGAGGTCAAAGGAAAACTTTTGTGGAGCTAGTTCTCTCTTTCCAGCTATACATGGTGTGTTAATTATGTTTTCTGTTGCTGTGATAAAACATCATGACCAAGGAAGAGTTTGTTTGGCTTCTGGTTCCAGCAGGCTAAGGTGTCGGGGAGGGGGGATGTGGTAACAGAGGTGGCCGGAGAAGAAAGCTGGGCACTCACATCTTCAGGCAGGTACAGGACAGACTTGGAAGTGGACAAGCTATCTACTCTTAAAGCCCTCCCCAGTGACGTGCTTCCCCCACCTAGGCCACACCTCCTAACGATTCCATGACCCTCCCAAGACAGTGCCATACTTGGAGTCTATGGGGGACATTCCTCAGGCAAACCATTATACATGGATTCTGGGGATTGAACTTAGGTTCTCAGGCTTGTGTGGCAAACACTTTACCCCCTGAGCCATCTCATTGGCCAACCAGTTGAAAACATTTAAAAGTATATAATCCCATGTTTTTTAGTATAGTCAAAGAGTTACATACCAACACTTACCTCAATCGAGAACATTTTTATCATCCCAAGGAGAAAGCAAAATTAATTAATTAAAAAATAATGATTTCACAAACACATATGCACGCACACCTCTGTATAGCGTAATTGTTAGATAACGTCTTGATGTTCATTATGCAGTGATGTTTTCTTTTCTCTAGGCAAGACTTCAGCAGTACATGGTCACAACAGATGAGCAGCTCATATCACTCACACATGTCATTAAGAACTATCCTGTGATAAATAACTCCAGACAAGAAAGCCAGGCGTCAGATAGAGCTGCTTCCGGTAGAATTCTTGATGCTGCAGGTAGGTGGAGCCTTACTATTTCCAGACTGTCATTAAATTACTTAATGGCCTTAGAGTAGTAATAAGCAAACAAACCAGATCTGAGCCCCCAAATTATATTGAATCATTGGCTATTTGTGTGTATAGTGCAATATCACTAAGATAAGTGCCATAATTATTTATTAGATGCTTTCTCTTTGCCACTTTCCTGTTGAGTCTTCCATGTATTATTTAATTTAATCCCCATAATGGTTAGATGACATAGATATTATTATCTCCAGTTTTCAGGTGAGGAAACTGAGGCTTAGAAAGAGTAAGTAACTTAGCAACCACACAGGTAGAATGTAACTTGTTTTTGAATGAGCCTTGTATATGGAGGGTCAGTATGTTAATATTTTAATATCCTAGTTTTTTTTAACCTTATTTGTCATGACCATTAGAAGGGTTAAGAGTCCCTAGGTGGCTTTCTTTTTATAATTTTGTGTATCTCAGTGTTTTTCTTATACATGCTAAGTAAGAGCCTGCCTGTGAATTACTGGCAAAGAAAAGTGTAACCTGGGAGCTGGGGTGTTGACTCCGTGGTTAGGAGCATTTACTGTGCATGGTGAGGACCTGGGTTCAGTTCCCAGAACCCACATGGTGACTTACAATCACCTTTAACTCCAGTTCCAAGGGATCTGCCCTCTTCTGGCTTCTGCAGGTTTCTATGTGCATGTGGTACACATAAACTCAGGCAGGTACACAAGCACATCTGAAATGTGCCCATAGTTCTTGTTGTTCCTTACACGTAACATCCTTATGTCTTTTTCAGAGGGTCCCATTGTAAGCACTAATGTCTCCATGCCATTGATATTCAGAGGGGAAGAAATGGTTGAATTCCTACAGGAAGAGTTGCCTGTTAAACTGTCTCAGGTGCCAAACCCCCGAGATAGCTTGAATGTGGCCAGTAATTTCCCAGCACATATTTTTGAGCCAGCTGTGTTGTTGACACCACCCAGGCAGAAGAGTAACTCAGAATTTTCTCCTCTGCAGGATGGTGAGTGGGAGTCTTCTAAATTTACATAGAGGTTGTTTTTATGCTTTATGTATGTAATATATTGTATTCGCTATTCTTGAAACATTAAATAGAAAAAAATGCTTACTATCCACAAGCTTCCAGATGCAGGTGGAATTTTTAGGATAGTTTTCTTTGTTTTTCATAGCTATGAAAATAACAGAGTAACTTAAAGGAGGACAGATTTCTTTTCCTTCATGATTTCAGAGGTCTGGGGTCTGCTGCCTCTTGTTTCTGAACTAGGTAAAACAAGAGCATGGCAGAGGAAAACTGCAGCCTGGAGGCAGACAGGATAAAAAGGATTTGGAAAAAAGATACACTGTTCAAAGGCATGCCGTCGGTGACCAACTTGTGTATATGTGTGTGTGCATGGGCACATACATGTCATGGCACATGTGTGGATATCAGGACAGTTTGTGGTAGTGGGTTCTCTCCTTGCACCATGTCGGTCCCAGTGATCCAGTTCAGACCATCAGGCTTTGTGGCAAGTGCTTTTACCTGCTGTGCCGTCTCCCAACTCCTTTTTTGAAAAATAATCTTCAGCCCTAATTTGCATGAATTTTGATTTCTTTAAAAATTCTAATATTCAAGCTGGGTGTGGTGACACACACCTTTACTCCCAGCACTCGGGAGGCAGAAGCAGGCAGATCTCTGTGAGTCCAAGGCCAGCCTGGTCTACATAGTGAGTTCCAAGCCAGCTGCGGCCACAGGGAGACCCTGTCTCAAAAAAGACCAAAAAATAAAATGAAATAAATTAAAAAAAACAAAAACAAAACTAATATTCTCCTGTAAAGTGGTAGAAAACTGACTTTATTGTTATTGAGACAAAAAGTTGACCAGATTTCTTTACTTTGATGTGCTATCAATAAAAGGAACCAAAGAGCGTAAAGAGGTTGAAGAAAATGGCAAGTTCTTGTTGCTACAATTTTGCTTTGCTATTTATGCAGCAAGTGCAGCGTTGTCACAAGGGTGTGGAATGGAGATGTGGGCTCAGTCAAGTGCTGGCTCCTCCCTCCCTTTGCCTCTCCTCAGTCTACCTCCCTCCTCAGTGTCAGCGATTGCCCTTTCCCTTCTCATTAACTTTCTGCTCTGTTACACTTGTGTTTTCTGTATCTTTAAGGCTAAAAAAAATCATGAACAGTTTATTTTTTAGCCCTTTTTTACTGCTAATCTGCCAAACTGTACAGAAAGTTCTTACTGTGACGATCAAGGTGAATTCTCATTTCCGATCATCAGTTGCTCAGAATCATTTTGGTTTGCTGTGTGTGCTGTGACTTTGTTGTTTGGTTTGCTGTGTCTGGACTTTGAAATTTCTCATACCCTTTTGTTGACACAAGAATGGTACACCTTCCCTGGCCTTCAACCTCTCTAGCCCAACTGAACTCTCCTTGGGGCTGCTGCACAGTCGCATTCTGGGACCTGCTGTCCTGTTTTTGGGTTGGATCAGCTTTTTCTTAGATTCCATGTCTTCCATTTTGTTTTGTTTTGTTTCTTCTCAACTTACTGAAAGAGATGATCAGGAAGAAACTATACAAAGTAAACTTTGAGTTCTTGAAAATCTGAAAATGTGTTTGGAATTTTCCTTCATACTTGATTGATGGTGTGGCTAAAGAATTCTTAGCCACAATCTTTTTTTCACTACAGAATTTAGAGGTATTTTTTGTTGATTTCCAGTATTGTTCAGTTGAGCTGTCTCTCTCATGTCATATCACTGTTATTTCTCTGTATTTCATTTTATTTTTTGTATTTTGAATTTTATTTCTTTGGCTTACTTTTTCCTCTGTGGAAGATAAAGGATTCTTTTAATTTTTTAAAAAATATTTTATGTGTCGTGCAATGCTCACAGAGGACAGAAAGGCTGTCAGATACCCTGGAACTGGAATTATGGACAGTTGTTAGTTGCCATGTGGGTGCTGGGATTTGAACTCAGGTCTTCTGCAAGAACAGTCAGTGTTCTTAACTGCTGAGCCATCTCTCCAGCCCCAGCTTCATTTAATTTTTAAAGGATCCTTTTATTTTTTTTTTTAAATTGTACAAGATGTGATTCATGTCTGTTTTGTTTTCCTGCTGCACCATAGGGCACCAAGGTAGTCTAAAGATGTATGACTTTCTTCATTTTGGGAGAATTGTATATTGACTTTCAGGAGTATCTTCTCATATATATACATATATATGTATATACACACATACATACATCTGTCTATATACACACATATATATTCTGGACTGTAATATATGTATGTTTGTGTATATGTGTATATATTCTGGACTATAGTATATATATGTTTGTATATAGGTATATATGTTCTAGACTGTAATATAAATGTGTGTGTATATGTGTGTGTGTGTGTGTGTGTGTGTGTGCGTGCGTGTGTGTGTGTATTCTGGACTGTGACTGCTGCTCAATTTCATTCTTTTGCACACTTCCCATCCACTCTCTTGTTATTTGGAAAAACGTTTTTAAATATCACATTTTCTAGTGGCTCTCTTCCAGCATAATCCTGTCTACTAATCTGGTATTTTACTCTTAGACTTCATATCAGTGATAAGGGTTGAGATAATGTATGCTTAGCTTAGAATCTTCAAATCAAAGCCTCCCTTCTCAGTTCATTCCCAGTTTGGTTATTCTCTCTAAACATTTCTTGCTAAGGCTCTGGTGGCCTCCATGTTCCCAAGCCTAGTGTATACCTTTTTGCCCTTGTTTCTAGATCACGTGGTAGTCATGTCTACATTTAGCAATGTTCTTTGTTTCCTTGATTCCACATTCTTCAAATATTTTTCCCACCTTTCAGTTGCTCTGCTAACTTACCCTCTTTTACTGGATGCTAAATGCTTGAGTTTCTCTTCTTTTGCTGCTGGCCTCTTACTTCACTACTCTTTCTAGATGATCTCATTCATTCTCACTGCTTCGGTATCTTCTCTAGGCTAGTGATTTGGTATCTGCGTCCATGTGCCTCTCTACAGTTTTCAGCCATCTGCTTGGGTGGGTATATGCACAAATCACGAAGTGTCTCAAACGGTGTGTTCAGAGCTGACTTCATGACCGTTTCCCTTTCAAGTCTATGCTTCCTGGTCTCTTTGTCTCAGTAAATGGTGTCAGCTGCCACTCAAGGATGCATTTTGTTCTGTTTCCTCCTTGAGTTCAGTTTGTGACTTATAGTTCTTTTGTCAAAATATATTTCCAAATTTATTTACTTCTCTCCATCTGTTTTGCCTTAATACTTCAGTAAAAGCCATTAACACTTTTCTAGACTACAGTTGCTTTCTGGACTGCCTCTACCATTTTTGCCACCTCCAGGCATCTACAGCGTTTGCGATATGTGAACTGAATGGTGGGCAAACCTTCTAGGTGCCCATTGCTTTTCAGTTGTAAAGTCCCTGTCAGGGTCCAAAAGCCTAGAGAAATGGCTGGTGCGCACTCTTCAACCTCCTCTTCCCCACTTCTCTCCTGTGGCTATGCTGCAGCGAGACTGGACTATTTTTCTTGCTCTTTCCTATTTTGAGCCTTCGCCCTTCAAATATGTTGTTCTTTCTACCTATAAGGTCTTTTCCTCTTGTTCTGGAACATATGCCATCACTCTCAAATTTTAAATTCTTAGATAGCTCTTTCCTGGCCGTCCTTAGTACCTGTACTCTCCTTTTTCTCTCTCCGAGATTTCCAGATATGAGTTAACATAGTGTCAGAGTACATTAAAAACCAGTGTGACAATATTGATAACTGCTCTCAGGAATATAAAAATCTCTGTTCTTGATTGCACATATTCTTAATTGAAATTAATTCAGGTATTCAGAAGCCAAAACTTTCTACTGAAACATTTCCCTAACTACTGTGATAGACCAATGAGATAATAATAGTACCGATTTGTTGGAAAATAAGATGCTTATTATTGTTTTTAAATTCTCACAGCAGTATTGAGGAGAACTGTTCAAACTCGCCCTGCTCCACGAATCCCGCCCACTGTGGAAGTAATTGATAAGGAACAGAATTTGGAAAAGAAGACCTTACTCACTGATACAGACATTCAGAACTCAAGTGAAGAAAATCGTCTCTTCACGCAGAGGTGGAGAGTCTCCCACATGGGAGAAGATCTGGAGAGCAAAACTCAGACAGCATTTGTTAACCTCCCACAGCCCCCTTGCAGTTCCTTTCCTACCACTCAGCAATCAAGAAGTCCTGTGTTCTCAGAAGAGCCCCCAGTACTGGGAGATGGACAACAGCTCAAAGCAAATGAGGCATTGGCACAAAGGAAGGACATAATGGCACGGATTGCTGAGTTGACACTCCAGAATTCAGCCATCCAGGCACATCTGAATAATATTACTGGGTCAGGGGGAGAACAAGGGGATGGACTGCGGGAGCTGCACAAACAGGAAGGTGCCAGTGACATGACTGCTGTAAGTACCACCTAAGGATTGACTAAAGATGCAACAGGAATTTAAGACTGGACATCGTGGTAGACCTTTCACTGCTATGACAAAGTCCCAGTAAAGCAAAGGGATAAAAGTTTATTTTGATTCATGGTATCAGTTTCATTCCATGTTTGGAAGAACACATTGCTCTAGATCTGAGGTTAGATAGAAAATCACTGTGACAGGAACATGTGGCAGAGACCTCATGGTGACCAGGAACCAATGAGGAAGAGAAGGGGCAGGGGACAACATACATCCCTCTAAGGCATGCCCCAGCTGATCTACTTCTTCCAGCTAGTTCCCACCTTCCCATCATGCCATCACATTATGAATCATTCAGTGGCTCAATCCATTCGTTAGAGCCCTTGGGATCCAGTCATTTCCCAAAGCCTGACAGGTTGTCACCGAGCCCCCAGTACATGAGCCTCTGGCGTGTTTCGTGTTCAAAACATAACAAGCACCTAAAGGTATCCTGCATAGCTTGAGAATGTCTTCATCAGAAAATAGAGGAAAGCTATCCTAGTTTATTAGCTTATATTACACATGAAATAGAAGACAGCATGAAAAACAATGTGAATGCAGAAAATAGAAAGTAAAATATGTAGGAAAGCTAAGACAGTGAGGAATGCATGGCTCTAGAATTGAGAGCCCGCCTACATTCTAATTTAAAGTAATTTTACCCATAAAATGCCCTACAAAAGAGTTGTTGGCTCTCAACTCATGAATGATTTTTTAGGACACAAAATGCATTTTCCCATAGAAATGATATTTAAAAAGCCGCCGGGTGTGGTGGTTCAAGCCTTTAGTCTGAGCACTTGGGAGGCAGAGGCAGGTGGATCTCTGTGAGTTCAAGGCCAACCTGGTTTATATAGTGAGTTCCAGGACAGCTAGGGCTGCAGGGAGACCCTGTCTCAGAAAAGAATTACTATAAGTCAAACTTCAATGTGCATATGAAGCATAAGGGGTGCCTGAGTGCGCCAGTCTGGGGTAGGACCTGTACATTTCTAATACATTCCTCAGTGATGCTGGTGCTGCTGATCTGAGGGCCACATTTTGGGTAGTAAAGCACTTGCGTATTATATTGCAAGAACTGTCTGTTTTCTTTTGTAACTGTAGTGCCAGGACTGGCAGCTCAGTACCTGTAATCCTCAAGAGTGAGGCACGGTTGCCATGGGTTTGAGGACAACCAGAGCTGCCTTCCAGCCCTTTCTGGGCTATAGTGTGAGATCTGCCTTAAAAAATTCTAATGATTCTTAGTACCCACTCGCAAAGCCTTCCTGTCACTTCTTACTTTCTTGCTTTCCCAAGCTCTGGTAAACACTATTCTGTCCTCACCTATGAAATAAAATTTTGTAGATTCCCCACATTATGGTACTTGTCTTTCTGTTAAAAAATTTTGTAAGTAAGAGAAACTTTGTGGGCTAATCTGATAACCTAAACCTTCATTTATAGTTTGTGGGAAGAAAAGTGAATCTAAGTTCCATCAGGGAGTGTTGGTGATACACTGCCTCATGCTCATCCTGCTGATGGAGGATACTTCATTTGACCCCTTTCTTGAGCAAAGGTGACCCCTGAAAGGGATCTGGTGGGGCATACACTTTTGTGGTAGTGGGAAGGAACTGGCAGCCTCCAGGATTAGGGGACCCTGAGGTAGCTGTGCTCCTAAGAGCTGTACAAGAGTGGAGTAAGGGCTTCGGTAAGGAAAATTGGAGGGGAAGTAGGGGCCGATCTGTCCTCGCTGACTAAGGAGAATAAGGATGGTGATCATAGAGATAGTCAGAAGGGTCCGGCAGAGAGTGAGCTGGGAAGCAGCACTGGCAGTGGACAGCAGCCGTCAGTACAGATCTAGTTGTTTGCAGAGTGTTGTTCTGTGTATGTAGAGGTTTGAAGATCGTTTCAAACAAGTGACTTGTGTTTTGCAAAGGTAACAGTTAAATGTTGAGCCTGTGCCCTTTTCTGATTAGCTGTACTTTAGCCTGAAAGGGCAGGCTTATATCGCCGCCTTCATTACTACCCTCTTCTGCTTTAATTGGAAATAACAAAAATGACCTTGAGTTCTTACTGGTTTGCTTATCTTCTTTAAAAACTAGTAAGTATAAGCTACAAATCAGAAAATTCCATTAGGGATTTTTTTTTCCCCCAAAAAGGATATATTTGACTAAATGAAATTATGAATGCTACAAAAATACATTTCTCGTGGGAATTTTCAATTAAACTTACATTATATTCCTGGAGTATCTTTTGTCTCTTCTTCCCCCCACTCTTCTTTCTCTCTCTGTCCTTCCCTTTCTTCCTCCCTCCATCCTGTCCTTTCTAACCACAGATATTCTGGATTCAGGTGTCTTAAGCTACTTGTTGGCCTGGAGAGGGCGACACTGCTCAGAAAGAGTAGCAGTGTTTTCAGTCTGCACAGCCCGTTGTGTGGAGATTGCAATGCTGAAACGTGTTTCAAATGCAGATCTTCCTGTGTAGTCTGTCCAATCTCATCAGTATGTATGTGGTGGTCAGCTCACTGGGAGTCTCTCTCTCTCTCTCTCTCTCTCTCTCTCTCTCTCTCTCTCTCTCTCTCTCAGCTGAGGCAAATAGTAAAAGGTGCAAGAAAGCTTTGTCATGTTAGGCTGTGCTGACGTGGCAGTAGCAGTGGAAGAATTCTTATTTTTTCATTTACTCCTAGTTCTTAAGTTAAATGATTTATAAATTCTGTTTCCCCCATTATTCATATGTGCATACAGCATGTTCTTTGAATACTAAATTGTAGGTACTTAGAAAAATCAGAATTGTGTGTGTTTTGCAATAATTAATTTATGCCCCCCGCCCCAAGACTTTTCCGGGAGCTCCATCTCTAACACCAAGCGGCGTGGAGGAGCGGATCGCAGAGTTGAACCGGCAGAGTATGGAGGCACGCGGAAAACTTCTCCAGCTGATAGAGCAGCAGAAACTTGTTGGCTTGAATCTGTCCTCTTCACCAGTGTCACCTGTTCAGTCGCCTCTCCGAGCATGGACTGGTTGGTCACAAATCTATGACTTATAAACTAGGAATGCAGTTTTTGCTTTCTCAATTTGGAAAGTTCATATTGAGCCAAAAGAATCCCAGAGCATGCTTCATTCCAGCACTTTTAATTTTGTATCAGAAGAAACTGAATTGAGTCAGAGAATAAGCGACAGAAATAATAGTAGGAAGCTTGTCTCTTGGTTCTTTCTACTCCATAATGTCTGCAGCTGATCTTTAGGTCCTGGTTCCCAAGGTGCCCCACATCTAAGTGAGAGTCATTCCAGCATGTGATTCACATAGGATGTATGCTGCAGTAAGTTTTAAAATATAAGCATCAGGATGAAACTTCACATTTTTGCAGCATCAGATTGCGAATTATTGTTCTGCTAAAACCAAGAAAACATTTTCACTTGATTTATTTTTCTATTGTTTTTCACATTAAGAATATGAAGAACCAGAGGGGACTCTAAATTATAGGACAGAAACGGAGAACTTTGTTGTCATAGTTTAACATTCAAAGTGTATGGATCAATTGAAGTAGTTCTCAAGTTGGTTTTTAGCCAGAAATTGAATTTATGCCCTCAAGGATGGAGCTATATCAAGAGCACAGAGAGATTGATTTGGGGCCCAGCATAAGATGGCCCAGATTGTGAAGAACAGAAAAAAAGCTCTGCCTCAGTGGTGTTTCCTGAGGCATTTAAGCATTGGCGTTTAGAGGGAGTCATTTGTCCTGTGTGGCTCAAGTAAGGTAGGGTACCTTTAAGGTGCCGGTAAGGGTTTTCACCTCAGTTGGGAATTATTTTTTTAAATTAAAAACCTAGAAAACAGACTCTTGGAAGTTACTAGAAAATTAAGCGCCTTTCCTCTTTATTTATTACAGGTTTCCTTAGTTGACAGCTAACATCTCTTCTGTTCATAGTCATGAAATTTAGAGGCAAATTCTGATTAAAGTAAATAAATTGCTCAAATACCTATGAACACTGCATGTGTCTGCTATGTATGGTCTCGAAGCTTCTAGCATTCAAGCTGGGGATCGCACAATAGACAATAATCACGTGAGATAATGTCAGCTAGTTTTGAGTGTAGTGGACATAAAGCAAATCCACCTGAAGTGTAATTTGAGATTACATATGACATTGTCTGTCTCAGTAATTCTGTAAGGTTGAAAACTACTTCTATTTCTAGGGTCTTATCTTGAACTCAAAACACCCTGGCATTACAACTTTGAGTTGAAAGTAAGCTTGAGGTTATGTGATTTGTCTGAAGTGCAAAAGAAATTGTAAATTTGCATCTATGTTTTTTCATTCCAGTAGTTAGATCCCTAAGATATTTTTTTCTCTAAGTAGAAGTCTTGGTTTTATAGGAACCTCTATGGGCCTTAAAAATAATAATAAACAGTATGCCATGGAAAGAAATACCCTCTTTTGTTTTGTAGGGTAACTGAGGGATTTTTAAAAATTAACTTTGATCTTTGACAATTTCATACACACACACACACACACACACACACACACACACGCACACACACACACACGCACACACACACACACGCACACACACACACACGCACACACACACACACACACACACACACACACACACGCACACACACAGAGTGCGTAATGCGTTCTGAGTAATCTCACCCCCACCCTCCCTCTCTTATCTTCATCCCACCCCTGGTGACCCCACCTATAGATCCCTTTCCCATGTTCGTGGGTATAGAACTATCCAGTGGATGCTGGTGGGCTCCCCAGTGGGTTCACAACTAAGCGGAGTGCCTCCCCTTTCCCGAGAATCCACTATTAGCAGTGCAGCAGGAGGGTAGGGCCCATGACTGGCTGTTGACAAGGCCAGTCTTGAACAGCAGTGTAGGCAGCTGCAGCTGCTGTGAGTTCGCACTTTCAATGGCTGTCATGCTCAGATGGCATTTCACAATCTTCTCTGTTGCCCTGCTATACATTCTTTCTGCCTTCTCTTCCATGATGTTCCCTGAGCTTTGGAGGAGGTGGTACAAATGTCCTGTGTAGGGTTGACTTCGCAGCCATGCTTTAGCTTAGCACCTTGAGCAGCCAGAGTGCATTCGCCACCATTCTTTGCAATGAGAAGCTCCTCTGACTCAGGCTGAGGGTAGATGTTGTGTATGGATATAAGCACAGATGTTTAGAAGGGACACATGTCAGGTTAGCTAACCAGCAGTAGTAAGTTCCACTCATACCCCCCACCCCGCACCTGACCTCTCCAACCGTGGGGTTTTGATTCTGTTATGGTACAAAGCATGAATTCTCATGCGGCCAAAGCAAAGTATAATTATGTGAATTTTAGTGTTTCAGGAGACATGCAATGAATAAACATTTATTTATGAAAGACTTTATATTCATCCTATTCACTGTAAACCACTTCTGAAAATCAGTGATTTCATGGCTATAGGGGAAAATAAACTCTATTTAATTTTGCTTATAAATAATTAAACTTTAAGGCTAGCTCTTTTTTATTTTTTAATTTTAAGTAAAAAAAATTCTCTTTGAGGGGCTGGAGAGATAGCTCAGCAGTTAAGAGCACTGGCTGTGCCTGTAGAGGACCCAGGTTCAATTCCCAGCACCCACATGGCAGCTAACAACCATCTGTCACTCCAGTTCCAAGGGATCTGACACCCTCTTCAGACTCGTGGGCACTGTAAAACAGAGGTGCACTTATGTATATGCAGGGAGTACAGCCATACACACAAAATTGAAATAATAAATAAAATATTTTAAAAATGTTTTTGAAAATCTCAAAGAAGAATCCAGTGCATCTTAGTCATGCCCACCTCCAAGCCCCCCTCCTGCAATGAAGTGATGCCGTTTGTCTGAAGATGCTGGAGTTCTGCTGATACGGCATGCTACTGAATTGACAGAAATAGCTTGTCTCACAGCTCTTTTTTAAAAAGCAGCTCTCAAGTCTGTCTGTGAGCCATTACAGTAAAATAGACTAACAACCTTCCTTAACTCCAGTTCCAGGGCATCTGACTCCCTCATCTGGCCCCCTTGGGTGCTGCATGCATGTGGTATGCTTACATACATGCAGGCAAAACACTCATACCCATAAAATTAAAATAAAATCTTTTTAAAAAAGAAATAATGCCTAAATTTATAATGTATATTTTCTAGTAATATTAAAATTGAGAAGAATTCTTATTTTTATCTTAGTGAAAAGTAATGAAACATTTATTTTTATATTTTAGAAGGAGGAAAGAGAACCATTGAGGTGTCTGTGCCAGGAGTAGAAGCTCCAGAAAATTCAAAATGTAATACTGTCTCTCCTGTCAGTGGGATAAGTTCGAGAAGGTAGGGCTGCAGGGCTGTAGTTCTTTAAAAAATCAAGAATGTCCTATGTGTTCTGTTCTCTTTGTGAGAAAAGATATCTTTTGTATCTCTGTAACTTATATTCAGGTACACTCACTCATATAGGGAAAATAAAGTAAGGGGGACAGGAAGAGAATTTGAGGAGAACAAGGTGAAGCATAAGCTTAACTAAGTAGAAAGTCATGGGTTTGCTACTAAAAACAAAAATGGGAAAATCTTTATGTAGAGTACCTATGGCTACAAAATCAGCAGGTAGTATATCACAGGGTGGGTAAATGGACCAGTAGCATCTTCCTCCTTTACAATAAGAGAATGAACACAAAGCTGATTTACCTAGCTGGGACATGACTAGAAGGTGGACAGGAAGGATTTCCCTGGCTCTTCTCACTCCGCAGCTGGTGGTGCACTGCTGGCCACAGTTTTCTGTCTGATCCTCCCAATTTGCATCCTCTCACTGCAAGCCAGTGCCTCTTTAATTTAAAACTCTGATCTCTATGATACTGTAATGAAAGACACACATAATTATCTGTTAAAATTCACAGAATGTATCATACAAAGAATACCTTAATGGAAATTATGGGCTTTTTTAATGTGTCAGAGTTGGGCTTGGTGACACACATCTTTAATCCTAGTGCTTGGGAGGCAGAGGTGGGTGAATCTCTTAGTTTGAGATCAGCCTGATCAACATAGTGAGTTCCATAGTTCTGCTAGGGCTACGGAGAGAGACACTGTCTCAATAATAATAATAATGATGAACTATAATGTATTGTTGGATCATCAGTTATAAAGTGTTACATTAAGGTGTTAATAATAGGAGAAACTGTTAGGGTAAAGGTGAGTGACTACATGGGAATTCTATTCTTAACTTTCTAAGTAGCAAATTGTACTAGTTTTAAAAGTTGTACATTGGTAAAATGTTAGGAGTAATTTACTTCATTTGGACCTATTAACCAAACCTTTTCCATGAGAGTTGTTCATATAATTGTTGATGGCTAACAATAGCAGCTCACCCTCTGACTGCCTTTTTATTTCTCATAAATAGGTCATCAGGGGCTACTAGTAATTCTTGTTCTCCATTAAATGCCACCTCAGGAAGTGGGCGATTCACTCCTGTTAATCCAAGAACAAAGGTACAGTATACAATGTACTCAGTATAGGGCAGAGAGGCTGAGGGTGGAAGATGACTGATTTCCATTTAGTTGTCTGGGACATGATACAAAATTCCGCCCAAAATACTGTAATTCACCTCTAGTCAAAAAAGCCGGTAAGCCATACGCTTCTTTTGTCTTCTAGGGTAGCTAAGGAATAAGTTAAAAAATTCAGTCAGGTTTCAGGCTGACTTCCCAAATATCATGGTCTTGAATATGGTATAGATATACTGAAGTGCAACTGAAGTCCCTCAGTTGTTGGCATGACTGGACAGAGTTGAATAGGCAGAGTTCTGGGTCTGGGTGCTTTATCCCAGTGTGCAGTGTCTGGGTGTGCCTTTGGTTAGATAGGTTACAGCACAAAGGGTAAATCAGTGCCTGCATATTTACATGTGTTTTGATCTTCTCAGAACTGTGTAGGAGCTAAACATTTCACAGTGCTGAATACTGTGTTGATTTTTCACAAGAAGTCTTGTGTGCTGATAATACAGAAAATACAGTTCCACTCAGTGTTTTGTCATAGAAAATTGCAAAGATATCTTTAGAAAAGCTCTGAAAAACTTTTTTTCAGAGTTAAGCCAACAACTATCTAATATGCTGATGGGGAGGAATCATTGCTGTTCTTTTTACCAGCTTTTACCAATTAAATAATTAGATCACAGAGTGGGGATTTATAGCCTAAATTAATTAATAGGCTTACCTACTTCCAGATGCTACTTATACTCTTTTTTTAAAGATTTATTTTTATCTTCTATATGTATATGTGATATGTATATGTATGGCATCTGTTCTGTGTGTGTGTGTGTGTGTGTGTGTGTGTGTGTGTGTGTGTGTGCGCGCGTGTGTGCGTGCATGCACAGCAGAAGATTGGGGGATATTTCTGCAGAGGCCAGAAGAGCACATTGGATCTCCTGGAGCTGGAGTTTCAGATGGTTGTGAGCCACGGGTGCTGGGAACCAAACTGGGGTCCTCTGGATGAGCAGCAGCACTCTTAGCCCCTGAGCCATCTCTCCAGCCTGTTTCTTGTATTCTAAACATGCTTAATGCTAGCCCTTTTATATAGTCTTCCTGTAGTTCATGGAACTTATTATCATTTAATTTACTAAGATCAAATAACTTTTTATCAGTTTTAAAAGTGCCAGTGATACAACTTGAAAATTCAGGACTCTTAATGAGGCGGTGTGCTGAACAAGTATCCTGCCATTTGGTGGTGTCTCTGTTAGAGATAGGCATTGCCAGAGCAGCTCAGGTTCAATGCCGCTTGATGCACAGGGTGACTGTGTTTATGCAGTTGGTCTAAATGGTCTGGGAATCTCTATGGTCTCATGTTTCTAGATACCTTCTAACTCCCTTCTGCATCTTTACTCAACAGGTTGAGAAACAAAATGAAGAAGGCTGGTTTGCTCTTTCCACCCACATGTCATAAGTGAAGTTCAAGTTGTGTTTTATAGTTTGTTCTCAGTAATTTATTCTCAACCTTCCCTTCCCTTTTTGCTGCTCCCTTTTTCAAGTTTTGACTTTTTTCTTCGGATAGAACTTGGAAAGATATCCTCTGAATCGGTATTAATGGACACAAGAAAAAGAACAATTATTTTAATATTTTACCTTTGAGTTAGGCTTTTAACAATCAACTAACCTATGAATTCCCTGTGAATAAAATTTTGACTGTAGGGAAATTAAAGTTCTATATATTCAATTCAACTTGTTAAACTTTTTAGTAATACACTTTTATCTTAGTCATTCAATTTTTTTGTCATTGTTCAGTGCATCTTAAATGTTAATCGATTTCATTTTCTTCCCAGAAGAACTAAATTACTTTATATATAACTTACAATAAAATTTTTCTGCCTTTCAGAAAAATGTAATGCCTTCTTTTGGTTTCTTTTCTGGTAGGAAATTACTGCTGTCCATCATTCCAAATTGAATGTACAGCTTTAAAGAAAAACCAGGCAGGAGACTGTGCGTAGCAGTACACCTGTAATTCCAACACTTGGAAGCCTGAGGCAGGAGGAGCTCTAGTTTGAGGCCAGACTGTACTATATATAATGAATTCCAGGGCCTCCTGAGCTACATACAGAAACCCTGTCTCATTGGTGTGGGGGTGGGAGCACAGGAATGCCTATTTATTTTACTTAAACAGGTAAGAGTAGCTATATGTTTTATAAAATAATACTTAGTTTATAAATGTGAAAATGTTCTGTAGTGATAAGGTACATCAAATAATTATCATAAAGCTCAAATGTCTAAATGTAGTACATTGATTTAATGCTATATTTAGTGTTTAAAACAGAAATATAAAAGCTATTATCAATTTTCCTTGTCCTAAATCATTCAAAATAAGTTTTCTTTCGTGCACCTGATTGGTTCTCAGATGTAGGCTTCTGTTTTCATTTTGTATTTTGAGTTTTGAGTGATGTCTGCCCCTCGGCCGTATGATAAGAATTTTCAACTTAAATGAGTTGGGAGTGGGCAGGAAAACACATTGAAACAGTCTTGGGCGCATTCTCAGGTATCCCCTTCCTTCCCTCTGCAGTCGAAAACACTGTTCCAGGAGGCACCTGAGCAGCTTTCACTTGGCAAATTGTGGCAGAAAATAAAATTATTTTCTTTTAGCGTTGATGAGTTTACTTATTTATGTCAATATTTACTTTTTATGTAGATTTCTTCCACTTGTATTATTTTGAACGTGTTATTTAATAAATTCCATCTTTGTCAGGTATCTAATCCATTGTAGCTGTATAAACCATGTAAGTTACCCGCTTGGTTTGTAGCACATTCTCTTTTTTTAGCATGCTTTTTGTGTGCACATGCATTGAAGGCCCAGCGGTCAATATTGGATGTCTTTCTTGATTTCCCTTCTCCTTGGACATTGAGGCAGGGTCACTCACTGAACTTTTAGCTTGCCAGCTTGGCTTGTCTAGCCAGCTTGCTTGCTGTGGGGATCCCTTGTCTCCACCTCCCACACACTGAGATTACAGGTGAGCCACATGCCTGGCATTTACATGGGCCCTGGTGATCAAACTCTATTCCTCCTACTTAAGTGGCAGTCATTTACTTGCCTTCCATCTCTCCTGCATCATGAATGCATTCTTTAAAAGAAAAGTAGAAATTTATTCTTTGATGTTTTCATACTTTTATAAATGTATATTGATCATATCCGACTACTATTCCCTCCTTCCAGCTCTCTCGAGTTCTCACTCCATCTCCCTCCCAACTTTATGGCCTTTTTTTGGTTGTTGATATTAATAATCCTGAGTCCAGTTGGTGCTGCCCATATGCACATGGGTGTATGGGCCATTTACTGCAGCATGGGCAAGCTACCAGCAGCCAGGTCCCCAAAGAGTGACTCTTCCTCTCTCAGCAGCCATCAGCTGCCAATAGCTCCTCTGCCAAGGGGTGGGGCTTGGGAGTCCCCTCCCAGATCCACAATGGAGTTTTAACTTGCTTAATCTTGTCCAGGTCTTGTGCAGGTAACCACAACTGCTGTGAGCTGATATGTGCAATAGTGATGTCATGTCCAAAAGTCAGCTTTCCACAGCGCTCTGCCCCATCTGCCAGCTCTTACAGTCTTCTCTCTCTCTCCTGGAATGTTCCCTGAGCCTTGGACAAAGGGAGGCTGAGATAGGTGATTCACACACAGCTGAGCACTAACATCCATTTAACAAAACAATAATAGACTCCCCCAACCCAGGACCTCTGTGCTCCCCATCCATGGGCTTTTGACCAAGTTTTCAGTACCAAGCATGGAATCCCTCTGGTGGAGCAGGCCTCATATCCAAGGGTTACTAAGTGAAAATCTCTCTTCTGGGAGCAGCACTGTCTGGCCATGAATGTATTCTTTGGCATACAATTTCCTTACTGTTTTCTAACTGTAGCTCCTCTGCAAACACCATTAAACCTTAAAAGCTGTTATTCTCAATGTGGAAAGCATTTAATAAATATAGAAGTTTCAAAAAAAAAAGAGAATATTGAATACCTTTGATTCTTACCCAATTTTATTTTATGTATATGAGTGTTTTGCCTGTATGTATTTAAGTGTACCTGTGCATGCAATGCCTATGGAGGCCAGAAAAGGGCATTGGATCCCCTGGAACTGGAGTTACAGAGGGTTGTTAGCCACCATGTGTGTGCTAGGAATCTAACCTGGGTCCTCTGTAAGAGCAGCTAGTACTCTTAACCACTGAGTCATCTCTCCAGCCCTACCTTAGATAGGGAGGGAGGGAGGGAGGGAGGGAGGGAGAGTCTAGGCTATCCAAGAACTTATGGGTGTGGCAAAATGAAAATAAAAAATTTAAATTCCAGGTAGTATTTTAGACATCTTTGTTTTCATCTAATCCTTTGAGCTGGAATTTCACATAGGACCTGCTCCAGGACAGAGCTAATCTTTATAGCTTTTGGTACTTTTCTATACACTTTGAGGACACTTATTCCTTTAGGTCCCTCCTGGAAGCATGCCCTGAACTGTTTCCAACTAGCAGCCTTATTCATCAGAACACAAATTCTAGAAATAAGCTATCCAGATGTGGTACAGAGTCCTAATCGTGCTCTCAGGACCCCATTCTTCCGGGCTCTGCTTCATGTTTAGTTTATTTGGCTCATTGACTCCTGGTTGTAATAAAGCTCATACACTTCCAAAGATCCTATCGACGTTCAGAACAGAGAGGATAGAAGGGTAGTGTCAGTGGTGTCTGTTTCCTCTTCCTTGGCAAAGAGAAACCTTCCCTTGAAATCTCCAAACTATAAGGAGATCTGGGGGGAAGAATTGGTTTAATACAGCTGGAAGCCTAGACGCTAGAACAAAGAACACATGGCCATCTTGCTTAGCTGGATGATGGCTGTTGAGGACAGAGTTATGATTGGGAAAGGAGTTCCTGTATGGAAGATAGCACTTGAGGCTTCCTGCCCAGACACATCACAGTGGGATATGAACTTCAAGGCACACTGGTGACAAATATGGCCCCTCTGAAGTCAGACCTTGTGTAGGATTGCTGCTGACTCCATGATTTCATTTTCTGTGAACTTTGGCAATAAATCAGAGTCTCCTGTTCAGGGTGATAAGGATCATCCATCACTGAGTAAAACAGGGATGATATGTCTGATCCCAGAATCTGTCTCTTTGCCAAAGGAGAACTTAGTGCAGAGAGTACTATTTGCTTTTAGCTAGAGGCCAAGAAATTAGTAATACTTTATCAAAAGGTGTCAAAAGAGTTAATCATCAGGATTATAATAAAAAAGTTTCGGGGCTGGAGAGATGGCCAAGCAGTTACGAGCACTGGCTGCTCTTGCAGAGGACCTGGGTTTCAACCCCAACGTCCACATGGCAGCTAACAAGGGTCAATAACTCCAGTTCCAGGGGATCTGAAGCCCTCATCTGACCTTGGGCATTGCATGATACAGGTGCACTTATATACATGCGGGCATAACACTCATAAATTAAGAAAAACTTGTCATGTTCAGAGCACTGGCATCTTTTCCTTGTGGACTAATGGTCACTTATGCCTCCCCAACCTTATTTTTAAAACTAGTATATTGATTTGAAAATTATATCTGGCTTCTAAAATCACCATGGGTCATTTCTGACTTAAAAAGGTTTAATTGACATATGCTTTATGTACAGTGCAATGCTCAGACCTTAAACTATTAATCACTTAGGTTCCTATGAAGGCACATGACAGTTGCACTGGTCCAGACATCACTTACATCCCTTCTCTGTGAGTTAGTTCTCCCTCAGCTCCAGCAAAAGCAACTATTGATCAGGTTCCTCTCACCAAAGGTTATTTTAGAATGTCATATAAATGGAGTCATTCAGAACATACCTCATTTATGACTTCTTTCACTCAACATAATTTTGAGATTAATTCATATTGTTGAGATTTTATTGTTTATCAGTATTTGATTGGCTGCAGTAATTTGTGCACCTGGTAACCTGGAACCAAATGCCTAGGTCTGTTTCCAGCCTTAAGCTTTTACAAATAAGTAGGCTATGAAGGGAGGAAGGGTGTGTTTTTGCTTGTTTGTTGTGTTTTTTGGAACAGGGTCTCTCTGTAGGCCCAGCTGACCTGGAAAACTCTATGCAGACCAGGCTGGCCTTGAACTCACAGAGATCTGCCTGCCTTTCTCCCTAGTGCTGGGATTAAAGGTGAGCACACCAAAAGTTTTATTTTTAATTGGCTAATAATTTGCTTAGGCCCGTTTGGCCCGTTAGGAATGTTGGGCAAGCACCTTTGAAAGTACTCGAAGTACTCGGGGCTGGAGAGACGGCTCAGCAGTTAAGAGCACTGACTGCTCTAGCAGAGGACCCGGGTTCGATTCCCAGCTCCCACATGGCGGCTACGAACCGTCCTTAACTCCAGTTCCAGGGGAATCCGAAGCCCTCTTCTGACCTCCGCAGCATTGCATGACACGGGTGCACTCACATACATGCAGGCAATACACTCATACACGTAAAAGAAAAATAACAAATAAAATATTAAAAAAAAAATTACTCGGAGTCACTGAACTCTCTCAGAGCTGTGTAAACTCTCAGAATGCTGGGCTTTTGTTTCCTTGGAGGAGGTGGGGCGCAATAGCGTCTTCTCGAGGGCTGATTGGACCAGGCATCCCAACAGCACCGTTGCTTAGTTTAGGAAAACACTGGCATGGGGACACTCATTGGCCTCAAGGTCTGCTAGCTCTGACCGTTGGGAGGCGGAATGGCGTTGCTGTGGTAACCGCGATAAGGAGTCCTTGGGCTGGTGCTGTAACTAGAGAGCCGCTGGGGCGGTGGGCACCTCCGGTAAGTGGGTTCCAGCAGCCAGGCTGTCCCCACCGGTTCCCCTTAAACCTGGTAGCACCCAGAGAGCATTGAACCCCTCTTGAACTCTTAGGCTGACCTAGTGTAGTCCAGGGTCTTCTGCAACGCTTTCCTGGCTCCTCCACCTTTGAAGAAACTAGTGTGGGCTAGACATTGCACAGCTTCTGCCTTCAAAGAACTGGCAGTGTGGGGCAGAAGACAGCCAGGCAGCGGGAGCACGAACTGGTGAGCCTTGTGGGCAGCGCCTGGGGTCACGCAAAGCCTGCCCTGCCACACGTAGCTGTGAGTCCTGCCAGGGTGACCCTCTGCACTTCAGTGTCCCTATCTCTATGAAGGCTTACCTCATGGGGTCCTTGCTAAGATTCTGGAGGCTAAAGCTGGCCAGTGCTTAGCACAGGCAGGGCGCATAGGGTGTACAAAGGGAGCTGAGAATAGGCAGGCTGTTCTCAGTGGGTACGGTTAGTCACGAGCTGTCCTGCCTACCTACTGATTAAAACTTTTGAGAAGAGGGGCTACTGAGGGAGTAGGAACAGAGTGCGATGAGGCAAGCTGGGATGATTTGGAGCCCCCGTGTTGAAGGGCTTTTATGCCATGTTAAGTGTTTACATAAGAACTTATTTTCTGTTTGTCTTTGAGACAGAGTCTCCCTGTAGCCCCAGAACTTATATGTAGATCAGGCTGACCTCGATCTCACAGAGATTCACCTGCCTCTGCCTCCTGAGTGCTGGGATATGTGCCACCATGCTGGGCAAGAACTCAGTTCTTATTTACATTCTTATGTAATGACAACGTCGTTCAAGGTTTTAAACAAGAGTGGCACATTAAATACTGTCTCAGAAATACAAAGGGTTGGGCAGGAGAGATGGCTCTGCAGCTAAGTGCACTTGATAGTCATGCAGCAGAACCAGATTAGGTTCCAGGGAATCTGACGCCCTCTTCTGGCTTCTGCAGGCACTAGGCATAAACATGTTTACATATGTACATGTAGGTAAAACACTCACATGCATACACAAAGAAATACAAAAGACGATGTAGAAAATGGACTAGAAGGCTAGAGAGATGCCTCAGTGGGTAAAAGCACTTGCTGCCAAGCCTGACCACCTGAGTTTCATCCCCAGCACTCACATGCTAGGAGAGAACCAACTTCCACAAAGTAATCCTGTGCACCCACATACACACAAAAATAAAATATAAATAAATGTAATGTTTTAAAAGAGAACATGGATTAGAAAATGGAGAGAAGGTATTATTAATAATAGCTAAGACTTGGAATTAGTTTAAGTGCCTGCCAACAGATGAGTAGATAATGTGATGTAATGTGGTTTGATGTGGTGGGGTGTGGTGTGGGGTGTGTATGTGTGTGTGTGTGTGTGTGTGTGTGTGTGTGTGTGTGTGTAATGGAATATTATTTGATCATAAAGAAGAATAAAATTCGCTTATAGCAAAGTGGATGGATTGAAGTCAGGAAATCTACCTGAATGTAGAGTAGTGATTAAAGAGGGGGGGAGGGTGTATGAGGGATAAAGGGATTTGACTGATACACACATTTACATGTGTGTAAATATCACACTCAACTCCATTAACACATGTAATTAATATATGCTAATCAAAAATAAAATAAGTTATAAGAAATTTCCTACAACTATGTCTTCAGTCATGACTACTGGACCATCTTAGCTTTGTTCAACTTCAAATAAATTTGAATCAGTGACTTGGAAGTTTATTCTGAGACAATACTGAAAGAGAATTTAAGAATTATATATTAGGCCAAGGGCTGTACGCTGCTCATCTGTATTTTCTTTATAAGACCAAACATTATAGAGTCTGTATATAATTATGCGCAGTGGTTTGAAGAACTGAATTGACTCAAATTATAAAGAATCTCCAGAACAAGGGATTAAAAGCCCTTAGGCATGTTTGTAGCTAGCTCAGCAATTTTATTGTAGTACGTGCAACCAAACTCTTCAAAATTGGCACTTTCTTGCACAGTTTTTTCTTAATAAGTTGCTTGTTATGAAGATATAAAATAAGCCGTATGTGGAAGGGATAGGAAATACACAGAATGATAGAATTTGGTTTTCGAAGACCTCACTACTTAAATTTTTAATTTGTCTTTTTTTTTTTTTTGGAGCTGAGGACTGAACCCAGAGCCTTGCGCTTGCATTCTACCACTGATGTCCACTCCCCAAATCCCAGGCAGCAGCTATCTTAATTTTTTCAAAAGGCAAAACATTATCTTGACCACGAGTATCATGTTAGGGTACACATTTCTGGATAGTAGTTTACAAGAAAAACAATCCAGAGATGGCATCATTGTCACTTCAGGAAGGCAGCTGAATGAAGGGAGTGAGTCATACTGTACAGATTGCTGATCATGTAACGATCTACTTTGGCACACCATTCTATTTTCAGATGAGAGATTAGAGTGATGCATTGGCTCAATCTGTCCTCATATTAGCCTTTTATTCATATTAGTCATTTGTTCTCCATTCCCACTGTGTGGAGGAATTGATGGAAACTTCAGTTAGCTAGTTATGCAGCATGACTTGGGACTCAAACCTGAATGTAGCCACAAATAGAACAAATAGAACCCGGTAGAACTATCACTCTATTGTATGCCAGTCATACCGTAGAAGAATGTAGAGGAAACATGGGATTTTGTGCAAGGAAGTGAAGTCTTGGAAGGGACGAGATATTCAGATGTTTTCTAGTCCAGCATGTGCAGAGCTGCAATAGTGAGGACAGAGAAAGACTGCTGTCATGTGTCCTTAAAACTCATCAATGGGGGCTAGGCGTGATGCTTTTAATCCTAGCACTTCTCAGGAGGCAGACGCAGGTGGATCTCTGAGATTGAGGCCAGCCTGGTCTACATAGTGAATTCCAGGCCAGCTGAGGTTATAGGGAGACCCTATCTCAAAAAACTAAAAACCAACCAACCTACCAAACAAACAAAATTTTGTCAATGGTTGTTAATTGATTTAGCGATTATAAACTTCTTAGGGAAGCTTAGAGATAATTTAGCATTCTGCTGTTTGAATCTTCTTTGTGTCTATTTGTCTCTTGTGATAGTTAATCTCGACTGTCAACTTGACAAGATTTAGACTCTACATAGAAACAAACCTTATGAGGGAGTTTCTAGATTAGGATAAGTGAGGTAGGAAAACCCACCCTAAATGTGACTGGTGCCATTCCATGAGTTAGGGTCACAGACCAAACAAAAAGGAAGCAGCAAACTGAGCACTGACATTCTTTGCTCTATGTTCCTGACTGTGGTATCCTGTGACCAGCCACCCCCAATTCCTGCTGCCACAACTTCCTCTTCTTGGTGGACTGCACCCTCAAATTGTGAGCCAAAATAAAGCCTGCCTTTCTTAAGTTGCCTTGGCCAAGTATTTTGTTCAAGCAACAAGGTAAACTAGCCCATATTCCTCTCATGCTCTAGTCAGCAGGCCGAGTTCAGCCTTTCTTAGGTAGATATTCCCTTTAATCAAACATGGCTTATCCCATCCTGTACCTGGTCAAACACTAATCAAACTGGTGACTCAAACACATCCTCTCTAAACCTCAAACATAGTTTTAATATCTTATCTTACATGTCCACAACACCTTATTTTTTCATTTTTATTTCATGTAACACTCATTATAATTAATTGCTTGTTTAATACCTATATTTCTAAACATTAAGCTCCTGAGGACCAAGACCATATTAATTCTATACAGCCTGGTAAATTAGTACTCAGCAGAAGACTTGGGACATACCTGCTGTGGTTAACAAATGTATTCAAAATGAAATTGATTGGTATCACCAGGGGAATCGATCATGGGAAAGGAAGATGGAAGGACCAATCAACCAAAGGAAGGATGGGAGAGGATTAGAGTCAGTGGTGGTGTGTTTGGAGGAAAGATGGGCTTCACGGAGGATCTCTGGAAAACCAGAGTACATCAGAATGCCACATGTGCCTGAAGAAAGGAAATCTGTGATTACAGTTTGCACTTTTGTCAAGGTCTCTGATGGTGGTTAGACCCTCCTGCTGTGAGTCAACCTGGAGACAGTACAGAGGAGTGTCAACACACACGGGCATCTGGTGGTCATGGAGTTTGTTAGGGAGAAAGATCTGTTCTTTTGTATTTTTTAGCATTGTATCTTTCTCTCTAATTTGGTACTTACAGAAGACATGAGGGAACCGGATGACCAGGACACTGATGGAGGGAGATCAGATAGATCAAGGAGTGTTGGGAAGCATTCTGGATCAGAATCAAAATGTAAGTCCAGAGATTATATACACATTTTAGTTATTAAATTTAGGTATAATAATTTCAAAAGAGTACTTATCTGAGTATACAGGACAGAAGTGGTTTACTTGTTTAATTCCCTTACAACACATGTAGATTCCTTAAGAGTAGCATCTGTGTTTAACTGTTTACCTCCAGTTCCTGCCACATCTCTGTGGATTTAACTGGGTGTATAGAGGGCTGGCCTAGCATGCCACAGGCTCTGGGTTTCTTTCCCAATTCTGCCTAAAATGGTGATGTTATCCCAGTGAGTCCCTAGGCGGAAACTGGAGGATCAGAACTTCAAACTCATCCCGGTTAGCCAGCTTGCTAGTTCCAGGCCCACCTGGGGACTACATCAGATCCTGTATAAAAACAAAAGTAATGTTAGATTTCAGTGTTAGTAATAATCTCCCTGAATGTCTGGTCTAGATTTCCTCTGTGAGAGCGGTGTCTTTAGTGGACTTTTAGATTTAGTGCAGTGGAGAGAGCTGGACTTGGGGTTGAACCCCGATCTTAGACATGCTTCGTCTTCAGAAATGAGTCACATCTTTCTGAGCCTCAGTTTTCCCGACTACTTACATAATTTAATTGGGTAACAAATATAGAAGAATTTCATAGACTGCAAATGAGACAGGAGGTGAAATTTGTGTGAGCGCCCTCATAGTATGAACAGGACTTCAGATGAAGAAGTAGCCTTTGGTTGCCCCAGTCACAAGGAAGAGCTCAGGTATGATGGGGGAGGGTCCAGGCCGAGGCTTTGACCTCCTTAAGGACCTTCTTCCCATTCAAATGCACATATCCTAAGGCATTCTGTCTTGTAGCCCAGCTCATCGGCTTTGGCTTTGGCACAGTTTTTACTCTCATTTGTACTTGTTCTGGGCCTTGTCCTTCATCTTTGAGCCTCATTTCAGATCTGCTAGGCATAGTTGGTGCACTTGTCATTTCTTTCTTATCCTTCCAAAAGTCCCCCAGTCCTGCCTGTCATGTGACTGACACTGTATTTTAAGCATACCCACATTTGGGCTTCTTCTGAATGGTGCCTTACCTTTGCAGCCATTTCTACTCCTGATTCTCATTCCCTGTTAGTATATTCTGAAGTCAGTGTTTTAACTTATTCTTGGGATTTCACTTCAGAGAGAAATTATCATACTTAGAGAGGGTTACCCATGAGTCGCATTATGTCTCTTCAAACTAACAGGTCCTCTACGAATGTGGGTACAATCCAGTTCGGTTGGAATTTTGACAGCAGTGCACTAACAGTCTTGTGTGTTGGTTTATCCTTTACTCTCTTAATATGTGGTGAGAAAAGTGGGCTGGAAATGGAATGAAAATGGAGGTGAACTCACAGAAAAGTCCTTTTTGTTTTGTAAAATTATAAGACTGATCAAATAAAGTAATCCTAGGGACTTTTGAGTATAAAAATTCATTGCATGTAAAGCATGAACAAGTAGGACGTTTTAGCTGCTCTAGAAATAAGAAAGTATTTAATTCAAAATTTGCAAAATTGTAACACAAATTGTCTTTTAGTGTTTCCAAGAGAAGCTCCAGAAGATACCACAAATGAAACATTTACTGAAGGGGAAGAATCATATTTAGATGATGAGAATGATTTGGAAAATATGGAAGAGCGTTCAACTTCATCTGAAGAGTATTTTCACAGTGGTAGAAGTAAGCGTTCTCAGCCTTCCCCCGTAACTATCACTGTTTTAGAGAGAAGGTGCCCAAATTGAATAGCTATTTACAAATCCAGAAAAAGAAAGATCTGCACGATGTGAATCTGCGCACTGATAAAAAGAAAAGGAATACACATGATATGCCAGAGCAGTTTCACTGCCTCGGAGCTGTAGATTCCATTTCTGAGGCTCACGTAGAGACATTTTGTACTCGATGTGGGAATTAGGGTGCTATAAGGAGTGCTTTATACCAGATTACTTAAGAGTTCTTCAAGTCTCCCTGTTGACAGCCTTGCCAGAGCTCAGTGCTTTCCCTCCCATTTGTATACAACGCATCGGGTCTCTGTTCTCAGCTGAGCAGCAGGTAGGGCGTGTTCAGACCAGCAGCAGTTCTTGCTGTTGGTATAGCTAGGCACCTTCCTCCTGACTTTGATTTTAGGATTCAACATACACTCTTCTTAGTTAAAATATTTTCCTGTTTTAGCATCTCAGTTACCTTCTGCTGTGGAAGAGGTGGAGGAGGAAGTTAAGAAGAAAATCTCAGAGAACTTCTACGATTACTCAGAACTTGTTTTCATGCCTTTTGTATCTCCAGATTCAAATATCCCACTGGATTTTCTCACCCTTCAGTATCCATTCCAGCTACATCTTCATAATTTTTCGAGGGTGGGGGAGGGTTCATTTCTTAGGTCAGGGGTCAGCAAACTACAGCTGAAGGGAAATCTGGTCTTCAGCACATTTCTGTAAATAAAGTTTTATTGCCCCACAGCCATACTTCTTTACATTATTTTAGGTCTATGGCTGTTGTCACACTATGAGGGCAGATTTAAGTATTTGTGTTGTGATGTAAGGCCTAAAATATTCTTTTTGCCTTATAATGAAAAAGTTTAGCACCCCTTGTCTTTGACAATTGAAAGAAACTTGACCCTTAGAGAATCGAGAAAGATACATAATCTTAATTTAAATTAAGCTTATTTTTTTTCTTTAAAAATTTTTAGATTATGTGTACATGTGTGCGGTGTCTGTGGTCAGAAGAGGGTATTGGATCCTGTCTTTGTTTGTTCTTCATTGCTGTGAGAAAATACTCTGACCACTACCAACTTATTAGGGAGGAAAGGGTTTATTTAGCTTACATAGCCCGGGTCACAGTTCATCAGGGAGCCCAAGGTAGGAACTTAGGGCAGGAACCTGGAGGCAGGAGCTGGAGCACAGGCCATGGAGTAACGTTGCTTACTGGCTTGATCCCCTGGCCCCTGCTCAGCCTGCTTTCTTATTGCAACACAGGCCCACCTGCCCAGGGGTGACACCACCCACATCACTCATCAAGAAGATGCCCCTCAGACATGGCCACAGACCAGTCCAATAGAGGGAATTCCTCAACTGAGGCTCCCTCAACCCACGTATGTCAAGTTGACACTAAAGCTATCCAGCACAGATCCCCTGGAGCCAGAGTTACAGGTGGTTGTAAACCATCTCACATGGATGCTGAGAACTGAACTCACATTACCTAAGCAGTCGGTACTCTTAACCACTGAGTTATCTCTCCAGCCCCTAAACTAAGTTTTTACTTGACGCCAGTTGGCCATAGGGAGAAATGATTCTTTGTAGTTATCTACTATGCAATAATGCATCAGAACTTCCTGCTCCTGACAAGCTACAACTTAGTGCACCCCAATCAAATGCTCTACGTCCCTTTCTCTTCTGTGCTCTTCCAAGCCCTTAGTAACCATCATTTTAGTCTTAGTTTCTACGGAACTTTTTATTAATCTCACATGTGTGGGATTGTGCAGTACTTATCTTTCTGTGCTTGTTTTTTTTTTAATGTAATATAGTGACCAATAGTTTCATCCAGTTTGCTGAAAATGACAGGACTTTGTTCTGTTGTATGGGTGCCTTAGTAAAATATTCATTAAGTAAATGCACCATATTGTATCTGTTCATTAGTTGATGGATACTTAGGTTGTTTCCTTTTCAGGGCTATTGTGAATACTACTGCAAGAAACCCGAGTGGGCAGATGTTCCTTTTACATACTGATTTCATTTCCTTTGGATATATTTCGAGTATTCTATTCTGGGTTGAAGGAGCCTATGATCAAAGAAGCAGCATGTAAGAGCGATTCCTGCCCAGATTAGAGATAACATTATTGATCACTGATATCTCTCATTCCTAACTTTCATACAAGTTAGTGAAGATAACTGCTTCTACTGCATGTCTTTGATTGGCATTTGGGAAGAAAGAATAAAAGGAAAGACAGGAGAAGAAAAGGCGAGAGCAGCAGTTTATGAACATGGAGAAAGGGAGCAGGCAGGCTGGCTCTGCTCAGATCAGGAATTCTTTACCTGGATCCAGCTCTCTTAATGTGTCCTGTGGCTAAGAAGCCCAGATATAGCTCCTGAGGCCTGACAAGCTTCCCTTGGATATCTGCACCCTGCATTCACCTGCACTCCTAAGACGTTCAGGTGCAGGAGGTTATGTCTTTAACGCATTCAGAACATTTTGTATTCTTGCACAGGCCAAATACCCCAAATGCTTCATCCCTCCTTCAGTTTAACTGCTTGGTAATGGTAGGTTATATGTACTTGATTATAAATTGTTTATATTTTACTATTTTAATTACATCAACTAGAATGTTTACCTCATTTTATTTAATATTTTACATATTTTCTTTCTCTGAAAATTTAATTTTCTTACAAATAAGTGGATCCTCTAAAATCATATTTTCTAAGTAAGGGCTCAAGAAAAAGTTCTTCCCTTGATCCTTAAACTTTGAGGTTAAACAACAAATTTTTTTGTTTGTTTGTTTGTTTGTTTGAGACAGGGTCTTCCTGTAGCCCCAGCTGGTCTGGAACTTGCTAGGTAGACCAGCCTAGCTTGGTCTCTGTGAGATCCACCTGCCTCTGCCCCCTGAGTGTTGGGATTAAATGTGTGTGCCACCACAACACAGTAACAAATTCTTATACATGAAGAATTTGTTTCCCTAAGAAAAAGCTGTAATACTCCAGTTTTTTCACAGATTGATCCCACTTACTGTCTTTGTTACATTTGCATCTTGGACTATATTACTTTGAGCTTAAATGTACTAACAGTGTATTTATATAACTTAGATTTTAAATTTATATTTTGAATTAATATAATTTTACTCTAGAATATAAACATATATAGATATATATACATGCAAACATTTGCCTGCACACCAATGTAAGTAACAACCTCGGAAAGACAATGTTACCTTACTAATTATGTGTATATTTATGTACCACATAGTTAGTTGATTTTAGTAATTTATTGTTATGAATTAAACTTCAGTTATAACTTCATAAAGTAGTTATATTGCCAAATGTATTAGATTTTCATAAACGTCAGAATTCTTGAAATTTGTTTTTTGCATTTATTTTTGATGCGTGTGTGCATGTGTGTGCTCTGGCACACATGTGGAAGTCAGAGAACAACTTGCAGAAGTCAGTGCTCTCCTTCTACCATGTGGGTTCTAGGGAAGAAGCTAGGTGGTTAGGTTTGGTGGCAAGCACCTCTATCCACTGAACCAACTTGCTGACCCAACATGTCAGAATTTTGAGTTGGGTCAGCAATTTCTTGTCTTTCAACATCAAGGAAATATTTTTGCTGAACTGGTGAGATGGCTCAGTGGGTAAAGACACTTGCTGCACAAGACTGGTAACCTGAATTCGATCCCTGGAACACATGGTGGAAGGAAAGCACTGACTCTCAAAAGTTGTCTTCTGACCTCTCTATGGGTATAGTGACATGCATACACACACACACACACACACACACACACACACACCCATACACATAATACATACAAGCACATAGACACTAATAAAAAATAAAAATGTGTTTTTACTATGATTCAACAAGCGACAGGCACCATAAATACAAAGTGAGATGTGTTCTTTGTCCCATGTTATACAGTGCGACTTGTTTTAATGGAACAGAGGAAAATGATACACATTAGAAGGTTTATGATTATTCATCCATTAGTGCAAGAAAAATGTGATCTCGAGATTTCTTCAGGAAAATTACAGTAGAAGCTAAATCAGTGAATGAGAATTTTTACTTAATTTTAAAATAAAATTGTACTAGTGATCCATAGGAAAATTCTGAGTCTCAGGGTAAAATTCAACTGTGTCAATTTCAAATCTTTGTCTATAAAGTGTGAATTTTAAAAACAGACCTGATTTTACCACTTTTCCTACCCCCGGATGGCTATTTGTTCCACTTCTTTTCCTTAGCGATGTTCTTTCAGGCATTCTTTTGGCTATGACTGCAAGAAGCGAGCCAACCTGCAACTCCTGGACAGCAATACAGTGATGTACATCGCTGGGAACCAACTGGTCCTGCTGGACTTTAGATCCAAGGAGCAAATATACCTGCAAAGTAGCAGCGGTCAAGGAATCGGTGCCATTGGGGTATGCTGCCTTTTAGTAACCTGGGAAACAGACCCCTCTTTTTGTTTCTCTGTGGAGCAGCCACAGTGGCCGTTAGACACCAGTAGAAAGCAGGGTACTATTGTGGGGGTCACATGAGGTCACAGTCATCTTTAATCTCAGACTTTTTCTTTTCTTTTTCTCTTTGTTGGTGATGGATAGCCCAAGCTGGCCTGAACTCAGTATATAGCCCAGGCTTGCTTTGAACTTGGGATCCTCCTGCTTTAGCTTCCTGAAGAGAAAGAACCATTAAAAAGCCAGATACATAAGCACATGATCGTTTTTCAGTAGCTGTGTGAAAATAATCATGGGTCCAACTTTTGTGGAGGGAGGTCATTCAGAGGCCATGATATAGTGTAGCATGAGCCTGAGGTCAACACCATCTGTCACTGGTAGTTGTTAAACTTCCATTTTTCTGTTTTGTTAAAACTTGGTTTGAGGACAGTAGTCAAAGGTATGGTGTGGTCAAGAATGCTAATTCAAACCCCTGTTCATCTGGATGCAGTGCACTTTTACATGCCCAGAGGCTTTTCTCCACTGGGCTGTGTACCTCTCTTCCACTGTGTACAGCATCTATTTTTCTTTTTATAAAAATTATTTGTTATTTTTATTTATTTTTTATGTGTATGAGTATATTGCCTGCATGCATGTCAATGTACCCGTGTCATACAATGCCCTTGGAGCCCAGAGGAGGGTGTCGGAGCCCCTGGAACTGGAGTTACGGATGGTTGTTAGCCACCATGTGGGTGCTGGGAATCATACCTGGGTCCTCAGCAAGAGCAGCCAGTGCTCCTAACCGCTGAGCCATCTCTCCAGCCCCACAGCATCAATTTTTCTGAACTAGTTATCCAGTTGAGAATGAGAAATATTTTTGCAAGATTATGAAAAATCTGTGAAAAAACATGATTGGGCATATAAACTATCTTCTAGAAAAGACAGACTGAATTTACATATTGAATGTAAAGTTAATGACTTACTGACTCCAGGTCTCCAATAAAAAACAAAGTGTCCAAACCAACCCCAAAACATCTTCCAAAGAAAGCAGATACTTTTTACTTCCTGAAGACAAGACCTAGAAATGTAAAGGATTTGCCTGGCTCCCCACATATTTGTGATCACATATCCTATACAATTTCTTTGTAAACGAGGATCTAGGCAGGTGATCCCCAGGCTCCCTAGAGTCTTCTCTGTTCCTGATGTTTGCTTCTTCCTGCCAGCCTGTGTGACTGCAGACAAATGGCTAAACTCTTTGCACCATAGATTGCTTTTCAGTAAGATGGGAATGTTAATGCTATCTGAACCCACAAAGTTGGGGGTGAAATGTAAAGGAATTGGTGCATATAAGACTCAGATCATGTGCATGGTAAGCAATAAATACCAGCTGTGTTCAGGGTCACCCTTCTCCCACTCTGAGCCACAGCGGTGTCTGGGCACCAGGACCTGTCCTTATCTGAGAGCCAAACTCCATATCCTAAGCTATGCATGCAGTCAGGGGTTGCAAAACAGCCACTGAAAATGGGAGCCAACTGGTCCTGCTGGACTTTAGAAGTACAGTGTGTTTGAACTAGTTTCTTCGTACCTGGGACTGGAGAGATGGCTCAGCGGTTAAGAACACTGACTGTTCTTGCAGAAGACCTGGCTTTGAATCCCAGCACCCACATGGCAGCTAACAACTGTCCATAATTCCAGTTCCAGGGGATCCAACAGCCCCTTCTGTCCTCCACGGGCATTGCACGACACGGGTGCACTTACCTACAGGCAGGCATAACACTCATACACATAAACTAAAAATAATAAATAAAATATTTTAGAAATAGTTTCTTCTTACTATAACCTGCTTTCATTTTTACTTTTTGGCTATAACCTGCACATTTGGTTTACCAAGCAGCAAAAATACAATTAATGAATATACAATTCTATCCAATTTCTTTGGCTGTCATTCTAAATGCTGACATAATTCCTTTATTCAGGGCATATTTTCTTGGTTGTGAGCCCGAGCCTTCAATGACTGTGCCAGCTCTCCAGCCCTAAATATGATATCTTTCATACTTCTGTTAAATTTTCAATCATTTCTGGTAAATTTGTTCAAGGTGATTTTTTAAAAAAAATGGATGGATATAATTCATGCTGGGAACATGAATTCCATACTGTTGAGATTTCAACATGTTCTCCCAAATTTCAAATATTAGAAACTTAATCCATAATGCAACAGTGTTGGGTGGTAGATCCCAATAAAGGGTGATTAGGGCATGATTACATTAGTATTATTGTGGAAGTCGATTAGCTAGTAAGTGGGACTTAATGTGCATTTGATCACCTTGCATTTT